CCCCTCAGTCGCCCCAAAACAAACACAAGGCCATGCATAACAAAAAATGTCCAAAACGACAAAGGCACAAAACCATGTCCACAAGTCCTAAAAGAAAATGAGGCCACAAAAGGTGACCTATGAGCATCAGGCAGGAGTGAAGAAGGGCCGTTCAGGAGGACGACCTCGGTGCCAGGCTGGAGAGCGTAGCCACCGGTCAGGAGGGCAACCTCGGCGCCAGGCTTGAGAGCGTAGCCGCCGGTCAGGAGGGCGACCTCGGCGCCAGGCTTGAGAGCATAGACGCCGGTCAGGAGGTGCTAGTGGAAAGGCGGCTTCGTCGGCAAACCCCTCTGGCGCAGGAAGCAGGGCGGTCTCGTCGGCGACCCACTCAGGAACTGGAGGCAGGAGAGCGGCGTCGTCGTCACCGACCCCCTTGAAGACTAGAACAGGAACTGAAGAAGGTGGGGCGGCATCAGCGCGCCGGCGACGACGGGGCATCTGCCAGAGGTATAAATAAGGAAGCCATCAAATCACTGGAATATGCCTCAGGTGTGCGCACCGACCCACGAGTCACTAATAACCCGATGCAACACAGCTGAGGCATTGATCCCGCAAAAAGGGAGCGCAGGAGAGGAAAAAAAAAGAAAGAGAGGCAGGTCGCGTCAAGCGGACCTGACAATATGTGTGCCAAATTAGTGTTACTGAATTTATATAACTAAGTACGGGAAGAGGGAGTTTTGCCTAAGCAATGGAAGGAATTGATAATCGTACCTATTTGTAGGCCAGGGAAAGACCACAGTTTGGCAGAGAGCTATATACTGATACCTTTAACGTTACATATAGGGAAAGTTATAGAAAAAAATGGTTAATTAAAGTTTAATTATTTAGAAACAAAAGGAATATTAAAGGACTATCAAAGTGGTTTCAGAAAAGGCAGACAAACTACAGATTCTGCTTTATGTTTAGAACATGAAATTAGGAAGGCTCAAATTAAGTACTGTATAGTGGCTGTGTTCTTTGTTGTTGGAAAGGTCTATGTTATGCTTCGGAAGTAAGGACCGATTATCAAACTACATAAATGGGAATTAGGGAAAGGAATGTATAGATGGGTGACTTATTTCTTAAATGGAAGGGTAATATCAGTATGAATAGGAAAAGAGAGAAGTGATAGTTATTTAGTAGAAAATGGAACACCTCAAGGTAGTATAGCTATTGCAGTTTCAGTATTTGCAGATGATGGGGCTATGTGGAAAAGAGGTAGAAATTTAGAATTTCTAACTAAGACATTACAAGAAGCAATATGAAATGTAGAAGCATGGGCATTAGATTGGGGTTTTACATTTTCAGTTTCTAAGACTAAAGTATTTTGTTTTATGATAAGAAGCTCTGATACTTGAGTTAATCTTAAGTTGCATGGAGAGAGACTGAACAAAGTAGATTGTTTTAGATATTTGGGTATATGTCTTGATAAGAAGATTAGTTGGACACTACATATAGGGCAAACTGAAAAGTGCAAGAAAGTACTAAATATTATTAAATGTGTGGGGTGGGGGGGGGGGGGGGGGGGGGTCACTGTCTTGCCCAAAGACACTTTGACATGTGCTGTCACCGAGATTCATACCTTCAACCTTCTGGTTGGCACACGACTGCTCTACCCACCGCACCACTGTCTGGCTTTATAATTGAGTTCACCCCTGGACATTATCGGCAGCTTTACACGCTGATTCCTGACAGGTATGGAGTGGGGAGATAGTAGATCAGCTTTAAAAGTAGTTTATATTGGTTTAATCAGATCCGTTTTAGATTATGGTAGTATAGCATATGAATCATGTAAGACTTTGTTGAAAATGTATTTGCAGGGCCATGAAGACAACACCTGTTTCAGCTCTGTAAGTGGAAATGGGTGAAATGCCTTTGGATTGCGGCTGCCCGTCTTTTGGTTGGAGTGCGTAAAAGGGAGCATATAACCCCTATTTTGGCATCCCTTCACTGGCTCCCGGTGTCCTTTAGGATTCATTTTAAGATTCTTTTATTTGTTTTTAAGTCTTTAAATGGTCTTGCACCATTGTACCTTGTTGAGCTTTTATTTCCTTATAGTCCCTTTCGGTACCTCAGTTCAGCTGACCAG